ATATAAATTCTGCATATGAAAGAAAACATGCAGCATTTGTCTTTTTTTTTTCCCCCAGAACTCTGTCCACCTACACACTGACATGTGGATTCGTACATATTTGTCTCATTATTCCTTTAGGAATTTTTTCTTTTCAGTACTAGGAATTGAATCATCACGCTAGGTAGCTGCTCTACCAGCCCTCTAAGAACTATTTATTTTTAAGTTTTTAAAAATTACTTTATTATTGTGTGTGTTGCTTGCACTGTGTGCCTGTGAAGTACATGCATGCCATTCCCACAAGGGACAGAAGGCATCAGACTGCCTTCTGAACTGGAGTTAACAGGCAGTTGTGAGCCACCCTGTGGGTGCTGTGAACCAAATCAGGACCCTCTAAAAGACATACTTTAAAACAGTCTCTGTTAGATTTATTAAGACAGAGTCTCGCTGCATAGTCCAGGAGGCCAAGAAATCACTCGGTAGCCAGACCTGGCCTGTGGCAATCCACATCTCAGTATCCCAAGCCCTGGGAAAATAGGTGTGAGCTATCACACTTAGCTTGTGACAAGGCTTTAAAACTGCATTAGCAATTTACCTTCTGGAAAGGCTTCTCATGTGAAACGTTTACTGGTTTAACTCAGAAAAAAAAAAATGGTACCTTATTTAAATGTAAGGGTCACAACTGCATAGAATTATTCGTTTTTCTTGTTAATATTTATTATTTTGTAAATGATCTGTTCCTGTTCACTACTCATTTACTTCTTGGACTCAGAGTTTCAAAATGAATTTTCACAAATTATATATAGAAATGAAGAAAGCGTATCTTCTGACTTGTAGGAAAACCAGGGCAAACATCAACAAATGAGATCAGCTAATTACAAGAATAGGAGGAAGAAAAGTAGAAAAAGTGAAGGAATTTAAGAGAAAGAAAGGTTACTGGGAATGATATTTCAACTGGCTTGAAACAATCACATCTGCAAGATCTGAGTAGCACCTAAAAATGGCTGATGAAATAACTGGATACAATACTAAACTGAGAACTTGGGGGCCATCTTACAGTCCCACAAAAACAAAATCACTCATACAGCAGTCAACCTGTATGAGCTGTGTACACTCAAGGGAATTCCACAGATGGATTGTCTTTTTCCTTCCTTTCCTCTCTCTCTCTCTCTCTCTCTCTGTTTTTGTTTATGTGCCCTCATTTTCTGAGGAAGATGCCAAGGCTCAAGCTGGTCAGGAAAGAGAATAGTGTGGCCCAGCAGACACTGTTTCCATGCCTGAGCAATATAAACCCTGAGCTGAAAACTAATGCTGGGATTCATATAACAAACAATAAAACTTAAGAAAGTTTTTTAAAAAATGGAACGAACACAAGAGTCAACTGAAAAAGACAAGTTGCTAAATCTGGGATGAAATTTACAACAAAACAATGAAAGCGGCACACACATAGGCAAACATACCTCTCGAGTCACAGAATAAAATACATACCCTTTAGTCTACTGATAAGTTAGTAAATAAATGAGGAGAGGTTTGGAAGAGAGCCCAGGGGGTAAAATATTTGCCACACAAGCATGATGACCTGAACTCACACTCCCAGATCCCACAGAAAGGCAGGCTTGGCAGCGACCATCTCTAACCTCAGCGCTCCTATGGTCAGAGGGGAGTAGCATTACTCAGTGGTGCAGCCACGAGTAAGCTGCCATCGCTCAACAGACAGGCCCCAACCCTTGCTCATGCAAGCAACACTAATTGAATGCGGCAGGGCATACATACCAAAATGAAGACATGAAAATAGGAAGAGTACTTACAGAGAAGGAGAGGTTCAGTCAGAGGTGGAGAGGGCTAGGAGACATCACAGGAGGACACAATCCAAGTATGTGATATATATGCATGAAACTCAACTAGTTTTAAATATTTGTTTTTTTGATAATCCATGGGATCGAAGAAGCTGAGATAAAGGAGAAAAGCTCAGATAAATGAAATCGTAGTTGAGAATTTTGCTAAACCTAGAAAATAAAACAGACATCTGAAGCTGGGCATGGTGGGCACATGCCTTCAATCCCAGCGTTTGGGAGGCAGAGGCAAGAGGATTGCTGTGAGTGTGGGGCTAGCCTGGTCTACAGAGCGAGTCCAGGACAGCCAAGGCTGCACAGAGAAACTGTGTCTCAAAAAAACCGAAAAAAAAAATCATAAAAGAAAATAGACATCCAAATATAACAAACATTTAGAAACCTATACAAACAAGAATGGAGAAGACTCTCTCCATGACGTTTCATAGGTAAGAACTTAAAAAGTATAAGAAACAATAATAAAACCTGTAAGTGAAAAGTTATCAACTAACAAAATGAAGCAGGAACATGAGCACACCATCGGGTCTGTTGCCAGCCAGGAAAGCATGTAATAATAAATATTACTTCAAGTCCTGAAAATAAATGTCAGCTAAGGGGGAGGGGCAGCCCAGCACTGGAAAGGCAGAGGCAGGCAGATCTCTTTGAATTTGAGGCCAGCCTGATCTACACAGGGAGTTCCAGGACAGCCAAGTCTATACAGAGAAACCCTGTCTCGAAGAAACAAACAAATGAAAAACAAAAAACCCTCCGCAGCTGGGGCTGAAGATGGCTCACGGGTGAGGATGCGCTTACAGAGGATCCAAGCTGGGTCTCCAGCACCCACATCAGGCTCTCTGCCACTGCCTGTAACTTCAGCTCTAAAGAATCTTGTGACCTCTGGCTTCCAAGGCATGTACACCCCACATGCACAACCTGTACCCCCACAAATAAAAATAAAAACAGAACAACAACAACAAAAAAAACCCTCAGTAGCTTTTTATATATTGAACCCGCTGAAAAAAAAATTTTTGAAAAAAACATTCCAAAAGCTTAAAACAACAACAGCACTAAAATCCAAGTAGCTGAAAACCCCCTACAACAAAGACTTTAAGGGGAAAAAAAAAAAAAAAAAAAGATACTATCAGGCATGTTCAACCTGTGGACAAATCACGGAGAACCACAGAATTGAGTCAGAAAAACAAATTGCAAAATAATCCCATGACATGTTACGTAAGTGGATGATTTTGTTTGTGTTGGACTATATCCATAACTATCCTTTGGTTCACGTGGCTCACGGGCTACAGGGTGGATCTATCCACATTGATGAGGAGACTCCTATGCTCAGAGCAGAAGAATTACTACTGCGGGCGAGGCTGTACTACTAGAACGAATCTGTAGATTCAATGCACTCCTCACCAAAATTCCAACTGACACTCTTTGGGGAGCTAGGAAAAAAAAATCATAGAATTCAAACAAGTGATGGAAAGCCATAGCAATCCTCACAAAGTCTGCTGCAGGTATTGTTGAGTGTCTGACTTCAAATTGCACTTGAGCCACAGCGTCAAGAGATTCAGTAGAGCAAAGAGATGGCCAACATGAAGACTTTGTCAGCCATACTTCAGACAAGGAGTTAATATCCAGCGTACAAACAACTGGAAAACTCTTTCCTTGGCCAACCAATAAATGTGCTAATGAACTGAACAGACTAGAGTATTTTTAAGAGTACCATGTCTGGCCAACAGAGAAATGTAAATTAAAACAACTTAGTGATTACATCTCACGTCAGTCAAAATGGCTATCAAAGAGACAGATGCCAAGCTGGGTGTAGAACACACCTTTAATCCCAGCACATGGGATGGGGGCACAGATGTCTGAGTTCTAGGCCAGCATGGTCTACACAGAGTTCTAAGACAGCCAGCTATACAGAGACTCTCAAAAAAAGCCAACAAATGCTGGAGAAAACTGGAAAAAAAGAGGACCTCTTACTGCTCCTGGGAGGGTAAACTCGTGCAGTGACCATGTCAGTGTGAAGTCCTCCAAAAACAAAAAGCCCTAAACTAAAAATAAAACATGACCCAGCTATACAATTTCTAGGAACGTATCCAAAGGTTCCTATATCCCACCAGGGATAAGCGTGCATCCGTATTTTTTCCTGCTCTGGTCACCACAGGAGCAAATGAAAATCAGCCTCACTGCCTATCAGCACATAAAGAAAATGTGGTGCATACGCCACCAAATTTTACTCAACCAAAAAGTTGTAGGAAAAAAACGTATGGAGTGGAAACCACTAAGGTGGTCACCCAAGTTCAGAAAAACAAATACCAAACGTCCTAAGGATCTGCTTCTAGCTACATTCGTGAGGGGTGAGGCGTAGGCCTGAGTCATGAAACTCTAGGTCTTTGATGGTATTAACAAGAGCTACAGTCACCTGGAAGATGGACCCCGGCACACCTGTGAGGTATTATTTTGATCCTAATTACATAGGTCTTGCCCCTGTGGGTGGAACTATTCCTTATGCTGGAATCCTGGACTAGATAAAGAGGTGAGGGCCAGTGAGCTGGCTCAGCAGGTAAAGGTACTTGCTTCCAAACCACACAGTGGAGAGGACCAACTCTCAGGTTGTTCACTGAGCACCATGCAGTGATACACACGAATAAAGGTATAATTTTAAAAGGCTGGCTGGTCGTACATGTGCATTTATCGCCTCCTGCTTGACAATGGCTGCAGTGTGACCAGTTCTTGTTACTAGACCTTCCCCGTGGTGGACCATGGCCAACAGTGACCTTTACTGCCCTTAGCTGCTTTGTCAGAGTATTTCATCACAAGAGGAAAAGGCAGTAAGACAAGGTCCAAGAAGGGTAAAGAGGCTGAAAGAACAGTGACATGCAGTAGAGTCCTGTAGACAAAAAGAGCATCAGGGAAGCCTGAGCAGGCAGAGGGGGCTGGGGACCAGCCAAAGCAAAAGCATGAATGGAAATGCCAGGTGTGCTGATTAAACATAAAATGTTAAAAAGAAATCACTCTGAGGTAGATACTATTTATTATTTCTCAGTTTTCCTCTTGTTGGTATCAACTATCTTTTCCGAATTTTGGATTGGATTTAATGTCAAAAATACACAAATGCAGACAAAATTATTTAGTAACAAAGCCACCATTCTGAATGCAATACAAAAATTAGTCATGATACATAACTCAAACATAAACAGTGTACTTTATTAACAATAAAACTAACATAATAACTTAGTGGGGACAAATCAAATAACACAGCAAGATAAAAACAAAAGTAATCAACAGCATTGCTTCAGCTCACACTAGGGTCTCCTTTAAACAGGAAAAGCTACTAGTCTAGTGGCTCTGGCCCTGCCTGCACAGCACAGGAATACAGCATCAGCGCAAAAACCTACGTGTAAAGTCATGTTCGAATCACTGAATGAAATCTCTTGAGGGTGAGGCTCAAGCAGAGATGGGTAAAGTGCTATCAGTGTTGAGAACTACAGGTCTAGAGTAATCAACAGTAACAAAAATGTCCTCAAAACAAAAATCAATAAACTGAAGGTATCACTTCTTTCCTTTTGTGTCAGAAAAGGGAAGGAGGGGCAGGCATGTGCTTCCTACTGCTCTTGATCCATTTTTTTGGCTGGGTCCATTGGCTGTAGTATTTTAATAAACAGCAGATACTGAAAGTTAAAACAAGCTCCCCAAGTGGAAATTCTCACTAGTTTAAATTTACACTCTCTTAAAGCAGTATTAGCCTTCCTTAACAATCCCATCTTTTAAATTTGCATAGATACTCAAGTCTATTTGTTCAACCAAGGGAGCCAGGCAGCAAGCATTTTATTCACATCAGCTGGATAAATGTACACATTCCATGTACCACAAATAAGCTTTCTGGTGCAAACACCTGACAGAACAAGACAGGAAGGTCTGAGTGTTTCCTCTAAAACCGCCATAACCCCTTTTTCCAAGATAAATGCCTTCAAAGTCAGAGCACGAATAAATCTTTTTTTTTTTTTCATTAAAAATGCAGACACAAAGTATTTTGTCTCCAGCTGTACTGTGTTTCCTTGACAAATCTCCATTAGGAGAGTCAGTTGTTTAGCCTCAAAACTCTTCCTCATTTTTCAGGTTTGAAAAACAGTATCATGTCAAGTATGGAAAATCACTTTCCCTTTGGGTCTCCTCATACTCTTTCTGTCTGTCAGGACTCCATGTCAATCTCAACTCCGTCATTCTTGTCCTGAAGTGGTCCTGCCAGGATGTCTGCGCTCACGTCTTCAAGAGCTGCCAGGTCGATGGGCGGGAGAGGGTTCCTCCAGTACTGGAATGTGTTATACTGCCAAAACTCTTCGCTGTGCTTTAAAGAAAGCAGAAAGATATCACTGACGTAGAAAACGACACCCCCGCCTCCCAACACAAGTGCACGCGTGCACAGGTTGACACAAGCAGAACTGCAGCACTAAGAAGGCTGAGCGGAGGAGCTGTAAGTTTAAAGCCAGCCTGGACTACCTTGTCTCGAATCAAAAAGATAACTATATATATATTTTTTTTTCTTTCCATTTACATTCATCTATTTAGTAGTGGCACCCACCATGACAGAGGTCAGAGGACAACTTCCAGGCGGCAGGATTCCCCCTCTACCCTGGAAGTTCCAGGGACTGAACTCAAGGCCTCAGGTTTGGCAGCAGGGGTGTTTCTTGCCAGCCCAATAACTACTTTTTAATTCCTTGTTTAAAAAATAAACTCAAATATACTTTACACAGACTTTTCCATTTTCAACAAATAGTTTCGAAGCACTTCACATACCCATCTGTGGCTTGTATTTGCTAACAGTTTGATTTCGAAAGAATTTCTTTCAGAGCAGCAGGGCGCAGTAGTGCACACCTGTAACCCTGGCACTCAGGGAGGCAGAGAAAGGCAGATCTGACCAGGCCAGCCTGGTCTACAACGGAAGGCCAGGACGGCCAAGACGACACAGGGAAACCCTGTCTCGAAAAAAAAAAACCAAAAACAGAAAAAAAGGGAGGCGATTTCCTTCAGTAGCATCTTTTCCAAAAAATTGTATTGCTTTAAAATTTTTACTTCTATGTGGGTGTTTTGCCGGATGTCCATCTGTGTACTCTGGGCATGCAGTGCCTGAGGACTCCAGAAGAGGGCATGCGATCCCCTCTTAAGAGTCACTTCGTTTAGAGAAAGAGCCACTATGTGGGTTTGGGGAACTGCACTCTGGCCCTCTGGAAAAGCAGCCAGTGTTAAGTTTCAGTGAGATATATGAGAAAAAATACACAAAATACACACACACACACACCTTTATAATCTACTTTTGTTTTCCCTGGCACTTAGTATTAAGACTAACAAACAGGCTAAAATATTTCATGACCTTCTATAAAGTTTGGGGTAAAAACACGATAAAGTGAAAAACACTGAACTGCCATTGGTACACTTTCTTGGTAAATAGGTCTTCCAAGCCAAACGTGCTTGACCCCTTAAAGCAGAAAGTTCACCCTAGATGACTACAAAATTATTGTAAGTAGACAAGTTAAAACTGGCGCAACATCCTCAAAATACCCTGTGCAAAGAGAGCAGCTCTGGAGCGCCACAGACTGATGGGTGGTAGTTCTCAACCTGAACACTCTTCCCAGATCAATGTCTCCTACACTGTGTTAAGTTTACGCTTGCTCCAATAACAACACTGTTCACCGGAAACTCACCCGTACTTACCGCTCTAATGATAACAAGGAAAAAGAAACAAGTGACATAAACTTTAATCTTATTTAACCCAACATAGCCAAAATACTGCTTCAACATTTCAAAACTTACTGGTATAAGGCATTTTCTTCCCAAAATTAACAGTGTCTCTTACACTTCTAAGCACTGTTCAAAAGTGGCTGCACAGCAATGCTCAGAGGCCAGAAGCAAAGTGGAGAGCGGGGAAAGCTTTCGAAAGCTACAGGAGACCATGGGGTTAGGGCAAGGATGAAACCCTTATCTGTGCAAGCAGAAATCAGGCAGACACTGATGTCAGTTTGCTTTTTGTTATATCCTTTTCTCCTGGACGATTAGCCCTTACAACGAAACTATCTTTGGAGGTAAGAAAGATGGACAATTCGTATCTTCTACAGAAGAGAAGAAACTCTCAGAGCAGACGTAACAGAACATCCCTAGTCCTCAAGGTCCTCTGCTGGCAGCAGCTAGCACAAGGTAAGATCTATCAGATGTAGCCAACTGTGTGCAGCAGGGAGGGTTCAAGCAGGTGTGGTGTTGGCTATCAAAAGCTCCCCTTGGCTAATCTGTCACTCTCTCATCACTTGTGCCCCTATAGATAGACTGCAGCTACAACATCCCACACAGCATAGTCTCGTAGGGAAAAAAAAAGCTGCAAATGGATGGCTTGCCAAACATGGTCAGAAGAGAAAGGTTTTGCCCTATAAAGCTTCTGTCTCTCTATCCAGGACTTCTGGAAGAGACTATGATTCTGTTTTAAGGAAGCTGGTTTTGAACTTCTAACAGTAATCTGAAAAAAAACGGCTAGGTAATGCCCATGTTTTCTGGCTTTCAGGAAAACAAGATATTTACAATTTGTAACTTCACCTAGAAACAGTCACTGTAGTATTTGAAGATAATTTCTCCATACACCTTTAATCCTAGCACTATTAAGACAGCGGCAGGTGCATATGAGTTCGAGGCCAGCCAGGTCCAGGACAGCCAGGGCAGCACAGAGAAACCCTGTGTCAAAACAAAGCCAGGAGTGGTGGCGCACGCCTTTAGGCCCAGCACTCAGGGAGGCAGGGGCAATCGGACCCTTGTGAGTTCGAGGCCAGCCCGCTCTACAAAGCAAGTCCAGGACAGCCAAGGCTACACAGAGAAACCTGTCTTGAAAAAACAAAACAAAACGAAGAACATTTCTCACAACCACCGGGGGAAAACCGTTTCCAACTAAAAAATTTCCATTATCTTATCAGATTTTCCCAAAAAAAAAAAAAAAAAAAAAAAAAAACACAACGGCAAAAGAATCTCAATTATTTTGCATGATTGTTTACACTTAAGACACTAGACTCCAGTGATTAAAGAAAAAAAAAAAAAAAAAACCACTGGGTAGATGCATTCCAGGATGGTTGCGAGGAGTTCGGCCAGTCCTGAGAATTACTCTTGCTTCTTTACCCTGCCCCAAGTTCTACAACAATCGCCGTCCCCTTCTGTGACTGAGGTGACCCTCTGGACCACGGGTCTTCAGACCACAGAGGTCTTCAGCCTCTGCTCCTGCCCGTCGGACCCACCTGGTCGTGCGCCCCGTCGACTCCCTGCGGACTGCCCGCGCTGTCCAGCCGATCGCCGCCGCCGCCGCCGCCGCCCGGGGCCAGGCTGACCCGGGCTTCCTCCTGCTGGCCCGGGGGTGGCTCTCCCGGCTCCAGGCCCCGGCCCTGCAGCTCCTGACCGCCGTCCCCGCCTCCGCGCCGCTTGCGGGGTGCAGCCGCCGGCTCCGCCATGGTCCCCGCGTCCCCCTGGCGCTTTCGGGGCCGGGACACCCCAGACGGCGGAAGCCAGAGAGGAGGGTCTTCGGGGAGGTCGCCGAGCAGGAGCCGCTTCCACGGCACGCGGAACGCAAGCGGCTCGGCCGCACGCCGCTTGGCCATGGGCCGTCGGTGGGCGGCGCGCGGACTGCGGCGGGAGGGCGGAGGGCGGCGCGGTGCCGCGGAGCCGCGGGCTGGGGCGGCCCGAGGGCGGCCGAGACGTTGGCGAGCCGCGGCGCAGCGCCGGAGATTCGAACCTGCGCCGTGATGCGCGCGCACACGCAGCGGCCCGGCGCGGCCGCTGGTTGGTGGGAGCTCGCGGCTCCCGTTCCCGAGCGCCTTTGCGACCGGAAGTGCGCGCCGGAGCGTCGGGACGGGTTTAGCTTGCAGAAGGCGCGTTGCGGCCTCTGCTGCTACCTCCTGGCGGCTTTCGTGTACCCGCGGGTGCTCCCGGCGCCGGAAGTAGTGCGGCCGAGGTGATTGCTTAGCCCGAGGCCCCGCTTTGCAGCGGCCCGCGGCATTCCAAGGATAGAGGGCCTGCCTACCATGCCCAAGGCCGTAGGTTCAATCCCCTGGAGAAGAAAAATGGGTAAAGTAGTAACCAAACGAAACTAAGGAAGAAAGTAAGGCCATAAGTACCCCGAAGAAACAATCTTCTAGAGCAAGGAAGATCTGTTGTAGCTGATAGGTACTGAGAATCGTAATATTAAAATTAAAAAAAAAAAATACATGCGTTTGTGTGTGTGTGTGTGTGTGTCTTTTATTTACACAACCCCTCACCTAACATGTTCACCACGTGCGTGCATAACCATCTTGGGAGGATGGCAAATATTAACAAGCAGACAGTAGTGTATTAGGAGGTGTACCGTAGCCTTTCTGTTTGATCTCCCCGTTCCCTGTTTGCAGTTGGTGATTGAACGTGTAAGACCTGGGGTCTCACAGCTCCGGAGTTCGCCCTTCCCAGAAACTCCCCCAGACCAAGACTCATTGCAAAAGCAAGAGGTTTATTAACCACTGCACAATAAGGTCACCCCTGCTGGTCAGCAAAGAGTGGCACCAGGAGACAAAGGCCTTTAGGTTTTTAAAAGAAAAATTGCGGGACTTTTGAAGTTACAGTTTTGGCAATTTAGGATTGGATGAGGAAGCTATAAAGTAAGATAATTGGTTAGTCTTAGGTGCTCAAGCTTGGCCAGTCCTGCCAAGTGTGGATGCGGTTGCAATTTAAGGTGGGGGTGGTTAGCTCATTCTTGAAGCTTAGGGCTGCGGGCTCTTGGCTGGAGGTCAAGTTACTCAGAAGAAGTCTGGGTTCGTTGCTAAGAAACACTATCTCAAAGACAAGGGTCTGGTTGTTCTTTTTGGTGAGTGAAGGTCATTGCTTGCTTGCCCTTTTTTTTTTTTTTTTTTTTTTTTTT